AGTCATCTGGGTGTCCCATCACTAATCAGGGGCATCCCAGTAATTTCTTGTACCTTGTACTATATTCATCTATAAATAAAGAACTGGTCGACTGGCTAGTACWGYTYGACATTCTATTCTTTTCTGTCATTCTCTTTTCTTTCTTRCTACTTCGAGTATAGCACTTCAGATTACAGGTAGCAAGGATCTTCCATCAGTTCAGGAAGTTTATGCTCTTGTACAATCAGAAGAAAGCAGAAGGAATTTGATGAACAGTTCTGGAGATGCAGTTGTGTTGGCAGCGAAAGGGAGTGTTACTACCAGTGGGGGAAATACTTCTAAGAAGGGGGATCTTTAGAAAAAGATGGATGACAAGGACAAATTGTGGTGTACTCATTGCCAGAAATCCCAACACACCCGAGACACGTTGGGATCTTCATGGGAAGCCGAAATGGGCTCAAGATCTGAATAAGAAGCAAGGTTCAGATATGAATAAAAAGTCAGGACAACAAGGTACAAGAAAACACACTATGGCAAACATGGCTACTCAGGAGAATCAGCCCCCCATTCATACTGTGACTCAGACACATCCATCTGGATCTGACCCAAGGGAGGATATTATAAATTCCTTTCGTGACCATTTAGAGCTCTATGGTAGAGCAATTAGATGCTCCTTCCTCAACTTCATTTGCGTCTACATCAGATAACTCTGCCACAACTTTCCGTGTTGCTTCTCATAACCCTGACACTCATTGGATCATTGATTCTAGAGCATTAAAACACATGACTGGTACGTTTTCTTACTTTCAAACCTATCACCTTCTTTCTAGAAGAGACAAGGTGAGACTAGCTGATGGATCATACACTACCATAGCTGGTCAAGGAACCATTTCTCTCCCTCTCGGCCTTACCCTCTYTGAKGTTTTACATGTTCCGAAATTTCCCATTAATTTGTTCTCTGTTAGTAGTATTACTAATTCCTTAAACTGCTCAGTGACCTTTTTCCCTTCTTACTGTGTGATCCAGGATCTGGCCTCGGGGAGGACAATTGGTAAAGGATGTATGGTTGATGGACTTTACATGCTGGAGAATAAGGCTGATCTTCAAGTCACGGAGTCTAAGAGTCAGTCCTGTAAGAGTCAAGTTTATTTATGGCATTGTTGTCTTGGTCATTTATCTTTTGAGTCTTTGAAAGTGATGTTTCCAGAATTGTTTAAGTCAGTGTTCATTTCAGATTTCTCTTGTCAAACTTGTCAATTGAGTAAGCAATGTAGAACTCATTTTCTTTTAAAAAATAATAAATCTGAATTTCCATTTCACATTGTTCATTCTGATGTGTGGGGCCCTGTTACTTTACCATCTGAGAGTGGCTACAAGTATTTTATTACCATTATCGATGATTATTCTAGATATATATGGGTATATCCCATGCGGACCAGGGATGAAGTACCAAAAATTATCCAAGATTTTCAGCGGATGGTCTTCACCCAATTTCAAACTGAAGTCCAAATTTTTCAGTCAAATAATGCCAAAGAGTATTTTCATAGTGATCTCACGGAATTTTTTGCTTCACATCGTTCACTTCACCGTAGCTCTTGTGCCCGAACACCACAACAAAATGGTGTTGCTGAAAGAAAGAACCGACACCTCCTTGAAGTGGCCCGGGGTTTACTACTCCATATGAATGTCCCAAAACGCTTTTGGCTTGAGGTTGTCCTTTGCACTACCTACCTCATCAACCGTATGCCCTCTCGTTGGTTAGAGTGCAAAGCCCCACATCAGCTTCTCTTTCCTAAGGCCCCCTTCTTCCCATTCCTCCTCGTGTGTTTGGTTGTCGTTGCTTTGTCCAAAATTTGTCACCCACTCGTGGAAAATTGGATCCTCGTGCTATTCCTTGCATATTCCTGGGGTACACCTTCACTCAGAAGGGATACCGTTGTTTTGATCCTATTTCTCAGAAATTCTATGTTTCCATGGATGTCTCTTTCTTTGAGAGTGAGCCTTTTTTCCCTGTTTCTCGTCAAGGGGAGAATAGGAATGAGGAGAAACTGGTTCATCTCCCTCCTCTTCCTGATCCTCCTCCTTTTCGTGTCTTCTTCCGTCATCACAAAGGCCAACCAAATTCAAGAGCTGTGGAGAATCCAGAAGTTGTACCTCCAATGCCATTAAACTCTTCRRGGGYGGATCATACTCACTCAGGTATCTTGGTTCCCATTGATGTCCCTGACCCCATTGCAATTGATACCTCTGTTGCTAGTGACCTTGACCTTCCTATCGATTCTTAACCCTATTGCTATTGATACTTTTGTTGCTAATGACCTTGACCTTCTTATTTTTCATTGGAAAGGTGTTAGATCGTGCACCACTAAACACCCCATTTCCCACTTTCTTTCCTATGAAAACATTTCACCCTCTTTTCGAGCCTTTCTCACATCCATTGACAGTGTCCCTATCCCTAAGAATGTGGCAGAAGCTCTTTCAGTACCT